TGTGAAAAATTGTAGCAGAAAAGAGGCTTAAAATGTATCGAATATGTATCACTTTTTTCATTTAAGTATCAAAGCATCAATATGGAATAAAACCAATAATTCTTATGAAAAACCATTTTCCAAAACAATTTAACATTTATTGCACGAGAAAGTTGAAATTATTTCCTGAAAGCGATTTGCGTAATTTCAGTTGCGTTACACCTTGCAATTTTTATTACCGAAAGTGATTTCTGCAAATCTGCAAAAAGGACTTTCTGACTCTTTACGCGGGAAAGTAGACTTTCGATTTCGCATTTTGACAGCAAAATGCGTAGAAAAAGAGCTGGCATTGCCACGTTTAACCACACCTTTAGTCTGGTAAACTATGTATGTTTATCAACAGCTGATTCGTAGCTTTTTCCTATAAAAAAAAAATAAATTGTAACAAAAAATTGAAGGAATTTTATTTACTCAAATGCGTTATGCCTTTCGGCAGCGGGCGGATTCAAAATTGAATGAATATCGTACACCTGATTGCAATTTACTAACTACCAGAAAAATTACTAAAATACTAAAATAATTTTACACAAACAAAATGCATGGGGAAAATTTACCGCAAAACTCCACAGGCAAACACCGATGGCCTACCAACTGTCATTTTGGCGAGCAGTATGATTGCAAGTTTTTGTGTGTAGGCACTTTGATGTCTTGATATACAGTGACGGGAAAAACTGTAACATGGTGTAACACTTTTTACGTCAATCATCGCTATCTTTCCAAGTTCTAACGACTTTCATACTTTTGTTGTATGTTATTATTGGTACACCTGTACTTCCTCTCTCATAATGATTTGAAGTCAATCCAATAACAATAATAAAACCAGCACACAAAAATGTAAATTAAGGCAGATGTTACAGTTTTGCACTCATATATTTTTAAGAACTTTTTAATTATTTTAACGAGAAAAAAGAACTACTAACACAATGTTCAGTACCCTTTTGCTTGTTTTAGTTTCTGGGTGCGATTTGGCATACCTTATTTTTTTCTCTGTAAAACTTCTGGAGGTATATCCTCCATATATCCTTACTTTGCTTTCACACATCATGTACTCGATTATACGGACTTGGATACTTAATAAGCTGTGCTTCTAGTTGATTTCGCAAATTCTCGATGAGATTTATGTGCGCGGATTGTGGAGGTCATTTCAAATTAGCAAATTTTTTATTTTGTATCCAGTCTTTGCGAACATATGCAGTATGTTTTGGGTGATTTTTCAGCAGAAACTCTAATTTTTCGACTACATCTTGCAAATTTTGTTGAAATATGAACATATACTGTTCCTTACGCTTAATGCGTACTACACCGTACCGACAAAATTGTTTAAATACAACCCCAAACTATTATTGACCGACCACTGTGATTCACAGTTTGCCTTACATGTTGCGCATGGGCTTAATTTGGGTCTTTGATCCAATACCATGCCCGGCCATCTGATTGAAAGCAATTAATTGAGTCTTGTCAGACCAAATAACCTTCAATTTAAACTTAAAAATATGTTTTTTATTGCATTCTGAAAGGCCTAACATATCCCAATAGGCAACGGTCCGGTTTTCGGGCGACACAGCAAAATGCTACCACTCTCGCACATATATTTTGGTCAAATTAGCTTTTTTCTTCTTTTATGATGCCTTTGCGCCAATTTGGCAATTCGTCGCCTCGCTGTCTACTGATTTGCATTAAAGTTTAATACCTTAAGCGCTTCTGTAATAGTGGCTGCATCGCTACTTGCTGCTAAGTTCACAAGATATTGGACCGTAATATTTTTTGATAGACTTCCTTTGCCCTTGAGAACACTTTAGGGTATATTTTTTATCAATCTAAATATTTTCAAGTAGCAAACTCCACAATTTTTTGCCACTTTCCTGCGGTCCCGCCTTTCCACAGTAAATCTATTATTTACATTTATGGTTCCTGATTAACTATATTATTTACTGGTGATTACTTCTTCAATAAATTACAATACAGAAAAAAGTCATCTGACTTCCAACTAAGTAAAAAATAACTGTAAAATGCAAAACTGAGAGTGAGTGCAAAGCTGTAACATTTGCCTTAATTTACATTTTTGTCTGCTGGGTTTTTATTGTTGTTGTATTAAAATACAAATCGTTATGAGAGAGGGAGTAGGGATGTACCAACGAGAATATACAACAAAAGAATGAAAGTCGTTAGAACTTGGAAACATAGCGGTGGGTGAATTAAAAAGTGTTACACCATGTTACAGTTTTGCTCGTCACTTTATATAAGCATTTGCCGCATGACGCCGCCAGACAACATTCTATCAATTTCGGTGTTTAAAAACATTTAAGTGTTAAAAAAAATTTGCTGAATGACTTCCGAAAACGTTATCATAAATAATCCAATAGGTAACAGATCGTCGCTGCGCCAACAAAAACAGTTATGTGATTTTGGTAATTTTTTTTTTATTGCATATTTTATTAACACTATCTATTGCCCACATTTCTGCATTTGCCGTTTTCTTATATCTCTTTTGGTTTAGAACTGATCAAAAACAGCTATGTGCTCGCAGTATTAGAAATACTCTGAAAAAACGGGTATACGCTAACTTGCTTATAACTGTCTTTGATCGCAGATGAGCGTGCTTTGATTATAAAAAATAATTATAAGATATAAAAATAATTATAAACCAACTAAATACATACATATGTACATATGTATGCACATACCACTTACACTACATAGATTCTACTATTTAATTTGATCGCTTGCAATTGGAATTCAACAATTAACAAAGGTAAAAAGTATGGAGGTAGACACCGTCCACTCTACATTAGAAAATGTATTCGATCCACCGTTATATTCACCAATGGATTACATAAGTCGTATGCGACAGGCGAGGCCATCACATCCTTATATTGTTAATTATTAATAGTATACATATGAAATTATTTGTTGTATATACGAGCTTTCATTGGATATCACCTATCGAAACTAAGAAAAAGTGCATTGGGTCAAGTTAATACGCTGACCGAAAAAACAGTTCGCATCTCTGGTAATTTCATGGTTTGTACAAAGTATGCGTCCACTCAGCACTTTGCATTAATTTTTATTACAACAATCCAATAAAAATGTTTCTGACAATTTTTCATTACATAACAGGAGCAATGGGCAGATGTAGTTCAGGTTTATTGTGGGTACCTGCCGTGGTATACGGTCTTAACTCCACAGAGCCCGTTAAGCTCATGGAACAATTCATGCCTTAATCATTGCCCTGAAATGCAAGCACTTCAGTACCAGAGGCAGTGTGGGGCGGACACACTTACCACCTTGGTAAAGCTGAAACCTACCTAAATCTCTGCCGTTCTTTGTGTCCCGGCATCCGGTTGCAATGCAACTCCACATTGAACCCTTGCGAGTTCTACCCGCATTTAGGTATTAAACCACTGCCCTCGCGATACTCCCCGAAGGGCCATACCTCACTGAGCAGACTGGAGTAGTGCTCGCCAGCCAGACTTGCTTGACCAGCTCGAGTCACGCAACCTACTAAACATACCAGAATACACATGCTTGACCGCACAACTAGTAAGATTTGCTTTTTTCTTTTACACTTTTCCACGGTTCCCACAAAATTTACACCGTGTTTTACAACATTTCCGACATTGTCAACGTTCCTTCACGTTATCCAACATCTTCCACATTTTCCAACATTTTCCAACAGTTTTCAACATTTTCACCCAGCTCATTTCCTCATTCATTCTGCTCGTCTCGCTAATCTCACAGGTCCTACTAGCCATACTGGGGAGCGCCTTCCAGCCCGGGTCGACAATAGGCATGGAAATTGCTCCTTTTCAGGTTTTCTACACCCGTTCGAGTAGTTTGACGAGCCACATTCTTCCTTGCAAATCTTACCAGCTGTACGATCCTACATGTACATCTAGCCTCATTTACAATTGACTATTCCCATTTTAAATTGTTCAACTGACTATTCCAGGGACTGAAAATGACAGTTATTTTTTGTTTAGATGTAATAAAAGTCCGGGGCAGAATAGTGTCGTAAAGTTATCAATGTTCCCTCGATCCCAGGGCCTCCTGGACAAGAATCCTGGATTTGTTCTTATCCAAATTAAACAAGTTTGGTATCAAATGAAAGAGGACTGAAATAGCTTTAAAACAGAAATATATCAACGAGGGTTGCCACCTATTTATATATTTTTTATAATTTAATAATATTTGTTAGGCCAAAACAAAAGTCTTAACTTTTAAAACAGATGACAACCCCATTAAAAAACGTAACAAAATATTTCATATAATCCCATCCAGACGTATCCGACAGAAGAGGGGTCTCTAGCATGGTGTCTGTTTTTCATTTCACCAAATTCCTAATTATTGTAGACCGCTAAAAAAGTTCTAACTTCAAAAAATGGCATTGATTATTAAATAATTTGAATTATATTTTTTTGCTGGTTGTAACTCTTTTCGAAAAAATAAAACTTTATTGCACATTCTACAGACCAAGACCTTTAATTTGATACCTCATTTTTGAAAATCGAACGAACGGTGCAGATCTGATGACCTGGACAAAAAATTGCTTCGCCTATTATACATACATATAAGATTATAAAGAATATATATAAATAGGTTGCAATCTTCTTTTAGATATTTCTGTTTGAAAGCTATTTCAGTCCTCTTTCATTTGGTACCAAATTAGTTTGAAATCGATAAACGGTTTGTTTATTATTAGGAAAGGACTTTTATTTCGGACTTGAAAAATATTTGGCCAAGTTTAACTGTTATAACTGCACTAAATAAATTAAAGTCCGGGTTGACCGATCATTCTATTGCAAATAAAATAAAAGTCCAAAGTCAACTTTTTTTAAGTACTTTTTTATAACAGTCCGGGTCCCTGAACTATTCTCATTTACAACTGGCGCTTTCACATTTACAACTAGCGCTTTCGCATTTACAACTAGAAATTTATTAATTAATTTGGCATTGTTTTCCAGAATCAAGGCCGCCATTCCGATTGGCCAGAAGCCAACCATCGCCGAATCCGACAAGGACAAGTAAATGACTTAATTATTCAAAATATTAACAACAGCAATTTAATATTATCATTGCAATTATTAAAACTTAAGAAAAACCAACTAAAGACCTTAATTAAAAGGCGTATACACTCTTTCTCACACATAAACTTAAACTATATACATATGACCTTCAGGATGGTAGATAATGAAATAATTGAGAGTGTTTATAAAAAATAACTAACAAATAACAACAACCAATATTAGAAAGCGAGAAGAAACCCAATCATAAAAAATTCACGGTTTAAATGATAAATTTAATTAGATAACAGAAACAAACTATAAATTTCACGCATAGCAAACTTGCAAGAGAATGTGAAGAAGACCTAACCTCCTATGTTCCATTCTTCTAATGGGAAATCATTATTTTTATTTGTACTGAATTGAATTTACAGCGTGGGTAAAATTTCGTTTTTATTTGCTAATGATTTATTATATTTATTATGTATAATAACTACCACATAATTGTAACTACATAAATACATACAATGCTATATTCGGAAAACTACTTGTTATATTCTCAATAGTGTTTTATGAGTACACTTATTCTTGTTTGATTGTATGTAATGTTTTTAAAATTATATATTTTATATACATATAAACTGTTAAATGCAAGTAAAAGCCACACTATATTTCCTACGTATGTATATGTTTGCATATTAATCAACAACGCCTACTAATTTAACAAAATGATAATAAACTGTTTTCGGTTATGTGTAGTTTTAAACGTGAATATATTTGTACTTCTCAAATCCTTGCCTACGAGCTAAGATTTCGCCGAACAAGTCACAAAAATCTGTAAAAGATCCGCTAGCGTAAAATTTATGATACGTGCAAACGGGCTCAAAGCGATTGTTTTCTACATTAGATCTATGAAAAAAATTCAACAAAAAGAAAGCACATACTACATACTGATGATAATGTTATAATACTATTACTCAAAGAAGTAATAACTTAGAATTTAATGAATTCAAATGAGTATCTAATAAAAACAATATCTCCAAAGTCCAACTTTAATATT